GCTCAGCCACAAACCAAAAGTTACAGGAGAAATTCCAGATGGCATTCTGGAACAATACGCCATGTTTGACTTAAGATTGTTTCTGTATTAGACAAACAAGGACCATCAGAATGGCAAACAAAAATATCAAGAAAAGTAAACTTTTCAACTTTCCTTAGATTAATAGATGCAATTGAGTAAAACAATTAGATAGAATAATCATACAGCCTTCCCTCCTCTCTTTTCAAGATCCTCCAACTTTGAACTTCATACAGAGACTCCCCCCCCCCCCCATTCAACAGCCTACATTCATTAAGCTTTACCAACTCAAGGTTATGGGGTAACTATGATCCTTGCATAAATCCTTACATGGGGCCACACGTAACTGCTGGGAGCCTTCTGCTCCACTGAAAAGGGGAAGACCCAGTGTGCAAACTTTTGCAAATGTATATAAGCCTCCCTTAATAATCCAAGCAGTGCAGATTGAACAGTTCTGCTTGCTAGTAGCTGTTCTATTCTTCCCCCATGCGCCTTTCTCAGGCTGTGTTCACCCAACATACAGACCAATGTATAATTGCACTGTATTATGGTGAATCACCCAAGATGTTTTTTATTCATGTAATATGCTCCATGTCGTATTCAAGCTAACCATGTCATCACCTATTTGTGCCATTATTTTTTCTGTTTTCAGGGCTCCTTAAAGGGTACATGTACAAAAAAGGGGGGGGGAGGAGTGGATCTTCACTTGCAACACCATTCTTTCAATCTTGTAGTTTTGACCCACTCACACTGTGCATGCTCCTGATTTCTTTAATGGCCATTTAACTAGAATTCTTAGTGGATGTGCAAAGGGAAAACAGCTAGAATTCAGTACATTCCAACGTGTCAAAATAAACAGCATTGCTAAGATACAATTAAACTTAGTCTTATCCCACTTACAATGGTATAGCTGGACTAGTGCTGTTGGATAACAAATTCCCACCATTTAATTCCCAGTTAAATATAGATTACTGTTTTCCTGGGTTTTTTTTCTCACCCTGAAATATAAAAGATAGAGCAAATACTTCTAATGGATGAGCCTCTGCCCTCTGAACTTCATCCATAGCATCTCATTCAGACTGGAGTTTGACCTAAAGCATGTAAGAAGTAGATGAGCTTCTGCAGGTATTGATCAGAGGTCTAGATGGGAGTCAATAAATTAAGACTAAATCCCAACGAGATAGCACGATCACTAGATTTCCAGGAACTAAAGAGCTGCTATGATGCAGAGGTTAAGACATTGCTCTAGGATCAGAGAGACCCAGATTCATGTCCACACTTAATCATGAAAACATAGTCAATGACTTTGGACTCAAGTTGTATATCCAGGTTGTTTTTGTGGAGATAAAATAAAGAGAGATCCCCACATAAGGCATCTTGAGTGCATAGAATAAAGTAGAATATAAATAAAATTATTCAACTGCTGACAGTAATACTATCTTTCTGAAAGAGCAGTAACCAGGCTAGGAATACTCGTTTATTCATTTTTATCACTGGAATTTCAGGTAGTTCAAAATTGTCCAAACAGCTTCAATTATATTATAAATTTCAATTATATTATAAATTTATTATTTTTCTATCTTAAAATGTACTAGGTAGTTTTAGAATGTGCTAAGCAGAATCAGAATGAGAATTATATATTATTTTAAGTGTTAAATTTAGGGGAAAGATATAAAGGCGTCATACTTCAATTAGTGATTACAGGAGAAATATTGTGTTAATAAGAAAAGAAAAATAGATGATTACAGAACGGACAAAATATATCAGTATAATGATTTAAATCGAGATGAAATAAATAAAATAGAATTAAGAGAGTGAAAAGAGGGGCGAAGCCATATAGAAAATATAGAATGGTAAATAAGATATGAAATGGTGAGCATGAACTTGAAAAGTGAGCATGAACTTGATTTATGTCTGTACCAAAAGATGTAACCCGGGACTAGGCTGTTTTCCAAAAAGAAGTTTTATGTTTTTGTTTTGTGTTTTGTTTGTGTATGTTTGTTTATTTAAAATTAATAAAATTCATTAAAAAAATTGTTCAAACAGCTTGAGTTGGTCTTTTGCTTGTTCCAACTGTTCTTGAAAAGTCAATTAATTCTTATCTAGAACATTGATGGGGTATTTTCCTTGAAGGTAACCAAGAAGCTACAATAAGGCAGATTGAGATGACTACATTATTGAGCTGTTATGTTACACATTAAAATAGCCCAACTTTTTCTAGGTGTTCACTTGAGCCTGAAAAAAGGCTTCTGGTGCTGGCACCACTTTAAGAATTGCCTTAGGTTTAATAAATCAGGTTTTTTTTTTTTTTCACAAAGAGCTGAAAGATGCTATGTGTTCCAAGCGCTTTTTCCAAATTATTTTCCAAGCACACACAATACTATAAATATTAGTCTGAAACAGCGCATAGATATGTTATAAGTTTGTAAGGACTTCTGGAGTCTTCCAAAATGTTTTTAATCCAATCTTCTTGGCCAGGGCATCCTTTGAAGATGGGAGTTTATAATCTCAGAATTACTAGCCTGCATGCGAATTGCTAAATATTCTGGAAGCTTTAGTCCACATATCTGGAGGTGAAGAGTGGTTGAGGTAGGGTATCCTAATCCCAATCTCACAGAGAAAATGAAAAGAGAATACATTAATGAAAAGCAGCATGGAATGGAGGAACTTCATTATCCTACCTGTTGAAAACAATATGTTATATTATTAACCTTAACCTAACTACAAGAATTTTTTTATTGCAGACTTCTATTTTTCATTGTCGGGCATTGATGTTTAGGTCTGTAGAAATATTTTAATTTGGAAATTTAATCTCAAGACAATTCAAATCAACTTTCTAAATTGAGTCAGAAGTCAAATGAAAGCAGATGCATCTGAATCACTTTCAAATATTTTGCTTGTTTCTGCGCATAAACTAAGCGCCTGAAAATTTGCCGCAAATCAATTCATTCTGACAAAGTGAATTCAGGATTTGACTCTAATTGTTTTTCCAAAGCAATTTGAATTGGCAAATTGAATTGGACTGGGTTAATTGAACCAATAATTCAAATGGGATTTTATATCATTTGAACATCCCTACTGATGTTTGAGCCTCAAATAAAATCTGACGATTCAGTCTTTTTGGATCTTATATCACAAAATGGTTCTGTGGGGTTAACGATGTTTGCTTTCCATTATTGTTCATTTAGTTTTGTACTGATTGGTCTTACTCAGAAATCTATATACATGGATTGCTCTATAAATAAATAAGTATCCTGCTGATTTGAAAGAGTTATGGTCTTGGGATAAAAGTTTGTTTTAAAAAGAATGCTCTAGTAATTGGAACATAAAAAGATAACTATGCTAATACTATCAATAATTTCTTTCTGCATCTGGATCCTGGTATTTAGCTCCTACTAAAATAAAAAGGGAAACATTAGTTCTTTGAAGCTAGATGAAGAAATATATGCAGGATGGAAGAATCTAAATTTTGCCTACAGCTCAGTCCCAGTTTTAAACATCACGTCTACACAATAGCAGTGAATGCAAGCAATATGAATTCTTTTCTGAGTAGGAAATGTGGCTTAGCAACAGCAGTCCCAATCAAAGATGACAACCTGCCCCTCCCAAAAGGATTTTTGTTACCTTTTCTCAAAATGCATTAAAAAAAAAACATTTTTCAGGCTTTTCTTTGAAGTCTTAAATGACTTATTCAAATAGGCTAAATAATCATCTGTTGCTTGGCATGTATTGCAAAAATGTAGCAATGTGATCATCAGTCTCAAAAATCAGCTCAGCGCTAATGGTATCAAATTGAGTTGAGGTCTTCAAGGTATAGGCTTTCCATCCCATGAGGTACGTGTATTAAGCCACTTTACTGCATAACTTGATCTGTGCTCTGTGTATCACAACACATAGGAACAAAGAAAGAATTGACTGGCACAATATCACAAGAGAACAGCAAAGCCTGAAATAAAACAAGGCTATTGCTACTTGGTGATAGTAGCTGTTGCCACTGTAGCAATGCCAACAATAAAGTATTGCTGTGTAAAGACATCTTGGTTCTTGCTATGAAGGTGATGCCACATATCAAATTGGCCTGGCATGGCAGCCACTGTTTACCATACTTATGTTCACTTGTCAGGACAGAAATTCAGAGAACTACATCAAACCACCTTCAACAGATTGCCTTACTTTCAACCAACTGAGGTCTAATTAATACCATGTTTCAAGGAAGAAGGGACTTTTACAATAAACACTTTTCTAAACATGAGGAAGATGTTGCACCATCCACCCCAAAACCTTTTCTTTTAGGCATAGATCTGACTGCGATCCAGGCTTTCATATAAACTGAATTATCCATTCTATGGGTGAAAAAGAAAAGCTTTTTAGACATTTAAAAATTAAATCAGAATGTTAAATCTGAATAAGTCAACACTTATAGAGGTGGATCAAGTCTTTAAGTAAAAGCATAGTTCTGGGAACAAAGACAGTTACTGGATTAAAAAGAAGATTGTGAATTTATGCATTTTGGAAAGTCTGAACAAATGGCTGGATTATAAGGGACTCTGGAAGGGAATCACTGCATAGATTGTAGTTGTGAACCTGAAATATCAAATATTTGCATTCTAATTACTTATCTTTAGCAGTTATATAAAAGATTTGCATGGATACTGTTGAAACAAACAAAAGGGAAATGAGCAGATAAATAACATTTAAGAAGCAGACCAGCTCAAATACATGAACTGTTATGGAAAAAATGAATCATATCGACTCTGATTGCAATTGACAAGAAAAGCCACAGCCAATTTGCAAAAACATCGGGGGGTTATTAGGCAAGCCTTGCCCAATCATATAAAAGTAACCATCTGTAAATTTCATACCGTTCCATTAAAGAAGCACTACTTGTGACTACCTCCTACCAAGTGCAAATACTGAAAAATAAGTTCAGTGGAATTTCCATATTTGAAACTGATCATTCTGAAAGTGACATATTTTCTTACCTCTCTGAGTAGAAACAACATTGTGATTGCAAGGAATGATCCGAGACGGGTCCCATAGCATTGGATCATGGCGAAGAAGAGAAGGGCGAGTGTCCAGCTTAATCCAAAAAGATAAACTTCAAAAGTGATCTCTTCAAGCCTTCTTTGCTTGTGAGCGTTTTCAGATCTCTTCTTTTCTCAGTAAAAAAAAAGTATAAAATGTATATCACTATCGTATGGCACAGACTTTCTCCCACTTGAAATATTTCCTGGTTCTTTTAAAGGTAACAGATGACAGAATTGCTCCAACAACCTGCAGGCATCTTAGCATCAGACTTCCTTTGACTTCTTCTCTGAAAGAATGAAAGAGGGGAGGGAGAGGCTGGAGAGAGTTTACTGTAAACTTTAGAAGCACATTTATTTTTTGTTGTTTTCTCTTCTTGGCCAATGAGGAGTGAGAAAAGCATCAGACAGCACTCAGAGTTGGAAGTTTTGCTGGGGTGGTCTCTGACTTTTGTCACCCAAGAGGCTGTCTCTGAAAAACAGTTGCTTAAAAGGTGGAAGAGTAAGTGAACAGGGGGAGGAGAGAAAGAGAGCCCGCCTCTTTCTGCAGGAATCTAACAGACCAGGGCTTGTCCTGGCCCCTTGCCAAGGCACAGGCATCTGAGCAATGTTCTTTAACTCTGTCCCCGAGGTGGCTAGTCAGGGACTTGAAATATGTTAGTAAAGGAAAGCAAGAGGAAATTATGTGGTTGGGGGGTTGCATCCCCTTGGGCTGAAGGAGTAGCAGGGCTGTCCAACTTTGGCAACTTTAAGACTTGTAGGTTTCAACTCCTAGGATTCCCAGTCAGTCATTCTGAGAGTTGAAGACCACAAGTCTTAAGGCTGGACTGGACACCTGGAATAGAACATAGGTTTATATTTAATTGACTTGTGTGTGTTATGATCAGATCGATAAAGCAAGGGATTTTTTTCCCCCTCTTCCATGCCCTGGCAATATTTGCTTATTTACATCACACAGATTCTGTAAAGCAACAAACAAGAAAAGGATTTGGAGTCATAATAGTTCACACAACATGAGCTGAATACTACAATATATATGGCTGACTCTATCAACAAAGAGGGCCATCCATACATATTGTAGCATTGAACTCAGGTTGTGTTAATCAACATGATCCCAACTCCTTTGTAGACAGAGAGACAAGATTTATGAAGTGTAAGTCTTAAGCCTCACCCAGTAATAGCACCTAGCCAAGTTTGGCTGATTGTAAAAACTAAGTTAATTTAACCCTGGTCAGGCCTTGGAGGGCAGACAACTTGAAATTAGAGAGCTGTTGGTTAGATTTTGATCTTGACTTGAGAACATAGTAATTTTTACAGCATTTCATTTAGACACAAGAGTATACTGTCCCTTAATGCATAGCCCAGGCTCTAAATTCCTTACAGCACCTGGAGGACTAGAAACCCTGTTGCAGGCGAAAAGTGAAAGACTTGCTAAGGAAGCTCAGAGCAATACATTAGTTCATTGCTTTTATTTGAGATTGAATCCAAGCACTCTCGTGATAGAGAACATGATATTAATTTACCTCCAAGACATTCCAGAATTCATTGGAAGAAACTTCAACATTTGCAACTCACATGGATCTGCATAACAGAATAACAGAGTTAGAAGGGACCTTGGAGGTCTTCTAGTCCAACCCCTTGCTCAAGAGGAGACCCTATACATTTCAGACAGATGGTTGTCCAGTCTCTTCTTAAAAGTGATGGAGCTCCAACAACCTCTGAGGGCAAGTCTTTCCACTGGTTTATTGTTCTCACTTGGTATAGTGAAAACTAACCTTAAGCTTAGTGAGGATGCAGAAGTGGAGAAAGTCCTGCAGAGAATTGAAGATCATTTATTAGCTTTCCATATAATTGTAGCAAGACTAAAAGAAGTTGTGCTCCAGTACAGGTGTCATAGCTTTAATTTTTTGCTCCAAAAGATGGCGGAAGTAATTAGGAGCTACTTTAGCATTGATTTTGATTAATCAAGCTGAATTGGTTGAAAATAGAGATTGAGTGGCAAATCAGGAGAAACAAATTCATCAAATTCTTCAAATAAAAAAGAACAGGAACAAAGGAGTCAGCAAAGGCATTTCAGTGAAGTTGGAATGATACTTGAATTTCTAAGATGGAATTTCTTGAATCTGTTCAACTATCCTATCACTTTCAGCTCACAAGCAAGGCCCCAATGGCTGATGTTTACATGAGTTGAAATCTGACACATCTGGATGGCAGCATGTTGAGGAACCCTGCTAAGTTTGTCTTGTTTCTCTTCTTTCCTGCTTGATAGTGTACAACCTACTGTGCCTCTAGAACAATTCATTTTTCAAAATCGAATGACAGCTTTAAAATATTGAATGGATGGATTTCCCCCACCACCAGCTATGTAGGTAGCATTGCTTACATTTAAAATATGCAGACTAGCTTGGGAAGTCAGCAGTAAGATCACAATTATACAATATGTGATGTTTCATACAACTGCAGGCTTGGTGAATATAGTCCTTCAGATGCTGTTAGGTTAAAAATGCTATCACCTCTATCTGGTGGCCATACCTGTGTTCTGTACCTGAATATTTACAGGATATCCTCTTGCATTTTTCCTGGTTCACAATTTAATCCTAAAAATACCTACTTTAAGTAATTCTCACTGAATTTAGTTTTTTTTTTGTGTGTGTGTGTGTGTGTATTCAGTAGTAACTGGATCTGTTTAATCCCTTAGTAGCAAGAATAGAGAACCTCCAGTCCACAGGTCAAACCTGGAGAACTAGACTATACCACCCAGTCTGTGGGATATCAGACCAGCCCTTCTCCACCATCTCTACTCACTTCTCAGCCATGAAGTACTGATTTCAAGAGAATTGCAGTGCCCTGAAGTAGGACCTCCCCATGCTTTCTTGAAGGGAAAGGGAGGGAAACAAAAGAGGGGGAGCTCTTTGTGAGCCAGTATTTCACCTTCCCAAAATGGAGCACTTTTGACCTTTAGTTTCCCATCTTTTTGAGAAAGGAACGAGGCACTTTGCCTACATTTTAAGGGCTGCATCCTTCATTTGATTCAAACTATACATTGGGTGAAGGGAATCTGAGACAGCATTCACTATGGGCTATAAAGGCAATCTCTGAAAGGCAAATCTGGGACAAGTAAACACCTGTACTTCCTACACTCTGGTTAATTTCAGGAGGGTTCAGTGTGTATCCATGCAACTCACTCTCCTTAGAAAGAAGTAAATGGAGACAGGTCATGTTTTATGACGATACAAAGTTAATTTACGTATATATACACAACAGGCTGCAACACCTAGCCAGCCTTGAACCTCTCAAAGAAAGTCAATACCAAACCACTTCTGTTCTGTTGCCAAGGAAAACAAATGAATGTGTTACCAGGAGTCAAACTCAACAAGGAGTCTTTATCTTACTGTTGCCAGTCGAATGAAAAATGAAGGCTGATTACATATATAGTACAACAAATAACCGTTTCCTCCAGATTTCTAAGAGTATCCTACAGAGAACAAATTCAGCCTTGTGGCTCATTTTCAGATCCAGCCCTATATATTTTCCTACTACACACGTAAAGAGTTTGCTTGATCCTTTAGCTTGTTTGATAGAGGAAATAAAATTGGTCATTTCTATCCATCACCCGCATTTCTTAGGCTCTTCTAGCTCCTATATTTCTGACTATGATTTGTCTTTCTTGATGTTAAGAAGTCTCTCTCAGGAGATACAGTAATCAACAACGACTGCCTTTACAGAAATCTTAGGGGGCAAGTTGATCTGAGGCACAGGTGCCAAACTCGTAGTGTCACGTTGCCGTACGTGATGTATTACAACATTTTTTCCCTTCATGGAGCTGGGGTAGGCGTGGCCTGCGTGTGACACCTCCAGCCCTTGGGCCACCAGTTTGACACACTTGATCTGAGGGATCAATTTGATCAGCCCTACTTATTCAAACAGTTCTTTTAACTGGCCCCAATGATGACTGGGGGTGGGTGGGAATGTAACTGAATTAAAAAAGCACCTAAGGAAAACAGTATCTTAATGAGTCTATATTAAGGACAAGACCATGAACAAGTTTTATGCACTGGAAAGAATGGAAGGGGAATAGAAAAAGAGACTTATGTGACACCACTGGGCATTTTTTAATTATAAAAAGTCATAGGAAAAAAGCAAAGTACCAGCATAACATGAATTGCAATTAGCTAGAGTTCTCCACATCAGGTAACATAATTTTTAAAGGCACACTAGAGAAGGATGAAAAAATGTGCCAAGAAGTTGCATCAGGTATATAGGCACTCTATCCTCCAGTATACCAGGTTTTAGTTAATCAAGTGTAGCTTAATGGCAACCTATTTATGCCAGCACGTAGACACAAAAGTATCCTCTGTGCTAAAGTCATACATTACTTGAGTTCGGACATTGCACGAAGCTGTCATTTGTTTTAAGAATGTTTGGCTGAATAATCCACAGAAGTCTTGTTCATATATCACGTGCAGTGCAAACTACATTATGGCTAAGGCAATGGATGATCCTTGGCTATAAATTTGGACCCTCAGCAAGACTGGAATTTTTAGCTTCTGAGTTTATGTAAACTCTAACATGGTTTATTTGATTCTGTCTTAGCATGCATTATTTGCGAACACAAGCAGTTATTGATTATAATTTTGCCTTAGAGTTGTATATGAATGAAGTGATTATGGTTTGCTAAAACAACTTATGACTTAGCATGATATAATAGCTGATCAGCTAAATTTGGCTTCACAAACCAGGCAGAAAATTTTGTTAACATCCAAGTAACTATGTTAATATATGGAATAGAGTTTTGTGGAGGGATGCAGTGTTTGGAAGAGAGTCCAGCAGGTGTATATTTTTGGCTTCAATTTATTGCTCTTCAAACACGCTGAACTACAATTCCCATCAATTATAGGTATCATAACTATCATAGTAAGACTCTCATCAATCCCTTTTTGGAACCATTTAGTTATATAAATTATGGAGGCCAAAGTTGCCTATTGATGACTCATGATTAACTGAATCTCCTTTGACTAAACCAATTGTGTCATTTCTGGCCTGACACACTGAACAAGATCACCTGATTTGGGCTGAAACAATCTAGACAACATTGGATGACAGAAAAGAGTTAAATATTCCTGTATCTTCCTGGTCCCAATTAATGGTCTTCAAGATTTTTGTAGCCAGGATCTTGTAGCCTCAATTCTTAATCACAATCTAGACAACATTAGATTGCATGCTGTGCCACTCAGTTCATTCAATGATTTATAGCTCAAGATGTTGAATAATCCCCAAATTTAGGTTGAGTAAACCATCATTATTTTAACTATGGGTAAGCATTTCCTGCAAATAGAGCTACTGAGGCAGATCAAGTTGACAGCTCCCTTATTTTCAGCCAATGCTGCAGCATCAGCATTTTCAAACCACTGTTGCATATTCAGTACCCTGTTCAAGTGAACCAAAATCAGGTTTGCAAAATATCTCTACCTTGTTAGCTTTAATAGGTA